AGGGAACCCAACTCACGCAAGTGAAGCATCTCATAAAACTAGCTCTTGCACATACAACCTGGATAGGGTAAATAGCTGCTTCAACAATTAGACAGCCTGGCTAATTAAGTGCTAATGGAGGGCCCTTGGAGTTTGGAGAATTTTTTTAACCCCAAGGCTAAATAGTTTCTTACTTGGTTTCCTACTCTTGAGAAACATTAATTATAAAACCAGATTTGAGAACAAGGTTTGAATGAAAATAAAATCTCACACATCTAAGGTCATTAAAAATTGCATTTTGAAGGGGATTGATTCGCTTTTGACAAACACATGACCTTTTGGGTAACCTCTAATGACTCCAGGTTGCATTAATCATTGTTATTTTTCAATTATTTCTAACACCTAGAGGAAGATTAGCACTGTAGCACCGTTCTTCCGTTGTTCATCATTTTGTTCGAGCGGGCACCAGTAACGTCTCACAACAAATTGTGAGACTTGTTGTTACTGTTTTTGGCATATCAAATACATCACAGGGAGCTTGCCAGGCTTTGCTGTGCGGGCGAGATACTCTCGGTAGCTTGCTGGGCTCTCCAAGAGGGGCAGAGGAATTGAACCCAGATCAGCTGCATGCAAGGCAAACATCCTATCTGCTGTGCTATTGCTTCAGCCCAGAGGAAGATTATGACTGCAAAAAAGCACCCCTCTACTCCCAGCATGCAGTTACACAGAAAATACTCTGAGGGGGGGTTCCATGAGGGTGCTATGAGCTATCACCGGACCTCTTTCTGGCAGTTTAACTCCCTCAACTCCTCCTAGCACTCTCCCCCGAAAAAGGTGATGTTTAAGAGATTTAATGCTGTGCCTGTGGCACCTTCTTTCAGAACCCACACTGGTTGTAAAACCAGTTTAGGCACATCATCATCTACAGCTAACCTCAGTCTGACTCCTGGATTGTTGTTGTTGTTTTATATTTTATCACCATGGGCTACCATCAGTACCATCAGCACCCACTGGTACCCAAAAGACAAATGGCAAATTCTCCCTCTCTAGGTGCTATGGTCTTAAAGGGGAACAAAGTTTCACTGCATCAAGCAAAGACCGCATGTAGCTTTTGGTAAGACTACATGCCATTCCTCTTTCTGAGATCATGAGGAAACTTTTTCTTTGTTAAGCCTTACAGTCATTAAAAAGTCTCACAATTTGATTTCTTTTTATTGCTGTGAGTGTCACCTCTAGACTAGCAGCATGACTCAGAAGGGTCTTCTGGGACCAACAGCTTTTCAACTGAGTCAATAAGTCCACTCCTTAGTAGCCTGGGACATTCCAGGACATTCAGCACTGGGATCTGTGATACTGGAAAACCTGCCCTCTCATACTAAGTAAGATTCTTGGTATCTGAACTTTGATTTGAATGATTAAATCAGAAAAGCTTGGGGACAAAGCTGCAGGGGTCAGTTTCGTACCAGCCACAGAGAAAGTTGGGCCAACTCACATCTCAGACCTCTTGCTTGTTTCCCTGCTGTGAGATGCTCGAGCAGTGTGCAACTGTCATCCACTTGTATCTATTGTTGGCTCTAGGTACTAGTACTGATTTATTTATTTATTTATTTATTAGGAATGTGGACCCATATTTGGCGGTCCTTGGGGCTTATTCCTGCTTATGTGCTCAGGGGTCACTTCTGATCAGGCTTGGGAGACCATATGAGGTGCCATGGATCAACCCCAGGTAGATCATATGCAAGGCAAGCACCTTAACCATAGTGCTAGCTCTCTGTTCTAGGAATCACTTAATCACTTAACTTCCCGTTAGTCATCTATTTGCTCGAGCGGGCGCCAGTAACGTCTCCATTTGTCCCTGTCGCGTACTAGTGTAGCCCAATGACACTACCTCCACTACCCAGCCGTCGCCACACTCCAGGACGCTTTCCGGACACATCATAAGACACATCTTAAGACACTAAATACCCATCTTCCGGAATTGTCGTACCATATTTGATAGGGTTCAAATATGGCAACACCTACAAGGGTGTTTAGAGGTCGCCCCAAAAGCCTCTATCTCTCTCGGAAAGACTGGCAAGCTACCGAGAGTATTCCGCCCGCATGGAAGAGCCTGGCAAGCTATCCGTTGTGTATTCGATATGCCAAAACCAGTAACTACAACTGGTCTCATTCACCTGTTACTGTTCTAGGAAACAGGGTTCTAAATAAAATTCAACCATCTCCTGAGAGGGTCAATTACAAATATCTATAAAGACTGAAAAAATTATCGTCATATTTCTTGTCATATTTTCTAGAAAATGAATTGTAGTTCATTCTTTTCTAGTCATTGGAACAAAGTATTCTTGCCAGTTTGAGAGCGGTGGCTGAGGGTGAGCTGCCAACAGTCTTCACTGCACACAATAGCACGAGGGGTGCCAATCACAGATCTTAAGTTCTTTCTTTTGTTTATTTTTCTTTCCCATCATATTAAAGATTTAATCACCTTGTCCTGGACTGCAGAGAATCTTTGTGTTCTAATTTTTTCTTTGTTTTAATTTTTGCATTATAGGAACACAGAATATTTGATACCTTCAAATGTAAGAGTGCTGAGCTAATTATTAAGTATATTTTAGCTACTCTGAGTTACCAGGATCAAACTGTTGAGGTCAGTAATATAAATAAGTCGGGAGGAGAATTTGGCAAATCTTATTTCATTAAATCTCAGAATTTTCATAAAAGGGACTAAAATGTAATTCTAACAGAAGAGGTCAAGGAATTCATCTACACTCCACAGTAAGTTCGCACTATGCCTTCAGTAGAAAGATATATCTCCTTTGGAGATCAGAGAAGTTCAAGGCAATTTAGGAAAATTTACAAAAGTCATAATAAAAGGCTTAATTCATCTCATTATGATCTGTTATGTTCCTCTTACTAGATATTTTTTCAACTTAGTATAATTCATACATACACATACACAATCACACACACACACACACACACACACACACATATATATATATAAGCTGTATTGAGCTAAGATTTCAGGGAAATGTTCAGACTTTCTCTTCTACATGCTAAAGCTTCATTTAAACTTAAAAGACAATTTATGATTCAATAATTTTATCATTTCTATTATTTTATCAGGGGGTAGGGGGGCATACTCATGCTCAAGGGTAACTCCTTTGCTCTGCACTCAGGAATTACTTATGATAGTACTCAGGGAACCATATGAAATGCTGAAGATCAAACCCTGCAGCCACATGCAAGGCAAGCAACAACTTGCTGTACTATCTCTCCAGCCTCGTATTATTTCTTTATAAAAAAAAAAACAAAAACTTGAACTTTTAATTGAAGTTGGTGCACATATTCAACCTTCCCAAGTACACGGACTCATGGCCCCTTTGTGTCAGTTGTGAATTTCTGCACTCTCATCCAGTGAAAAAGTCCACCGAACTGTCAAAACTCTAGCAAAGTTAAATAATTATCCAATGGAAACTGTCCCTTTCAGGACAGTTTTCCTTTACTTTCTTTGTGACTGTATCACAGATTGCTTAGCACCTTCGTAGTATCTCCACCTCAGCTTCCTTCACAGCTCAATGTTTCAGGAATTGGCTGAGAACTTTTGGATTGCTTGCTTTTGGTCCCAATTTCCCTGTTCTGGTTATAGACTTATAAGCCACAGCAGACACATGCAGAAAGGGGCAGCTCTGCTGAATAGAGCACTGGTCATCTTGCAAGATGACCCAGATTTTCATCCTTGATTAGACTGGGGAAGGCAGAAGACTGATCAGGGAGCAGAATGAGAAAGTGTGACAGCTTATTAATTCTAAGAAAGTGTCACTTCAAGCGTCAGTGGCCTCGGGTTCAATTCCACAATCTGAAAAACCCACAGAGCAGATGTAAGCATATGGATCCATTCTAAGAGGAAAAGTTGATGAGTTTGCAATATTTGTTCATGAAATTTCAGTGTATGTCCTGGAAATGTATTATTCGATTGGAGGAAGTACAGAGGTGAGGCAAGAGAGAATTATTGGCATTTGATCTCACTTCATATGACCATTCCTTTCTATTCCTTGGAGAACACACTAATAAATGAACTGGAAGAGAAAGCCAAAGGTGTGCACTGTGTTTGTGGAAACTGAAAATGTGAATGTTTAAAAAAGGCATTTGGTTTAGTAATAAAGACCTGAAGTGAGGGATTGGAGAAATTGTTCAAAAGGCTGGAGTTCATTTGTATGCAGGAGACTCAGATGAAATCCCTGGTCACCCCATGTTCTCCTAAGTGCCTCAGGGAGTGACCCCTCAGCACTTAACTAGGGAGCAGACCGCCAACCGCCAACCCCACGGCTGAAGGTGTGGCCTCCAAACCAAACAGAAACATACACACAGAAAAGGGAATGAATTAAAGCATCCAAATTTCACCTCCCAAAGGCAAAAGTGTGACATCAACCTCAATTTGAAGATGGAACAGGCGTTTTGGGGCCTCCAAATAATGCTCAAGTCCCTTCCAAACAGATGTTAAACGCTTAGAAATAAACCGTGGTCATTGATTACATAATCACTCATTTTAGGAATTAGTAATCTAATTGCTGATTGGAAAATATCCAGTTGTCATGGATGGTCCATTTGAGACTATCATGACACAAGCATGTGTGATGATGACTATCATGACACACACATGTGACCATATAACCCGTCATCTGGACCAAATGGAAGAGGTTTCTATAGTAATGTCAACACTGTCAGTGGCACTCATCCTGCTTGGGACCTCAGGCTTCACATTGCAACAACTGGACATTTCTTCCCACTAGATTATGTCCCCTTCTCTAGGAAATTGTACTCTGCAATTTCCCGTGTATTCTCTGTCTCTGTCTCTCTGTCTCTATCTCTCTGTCTCTGTCTCTGCCTTTCTCTCTCTCTCTCTCTCTCTCTCTCACACACACACACACACACACACACACACACACACACACACCCGTGAGTGAGACACAAGTACAGCTTGCTTCCAGCAGGTGACCTGAGCCCCAGCGGCCTCACGTTACCTCTTGCCCAGGGCGAATGCCGGCTGCCGCGGGCGCTCTTGCTGCCATCAGTCTCTGCGGCTGTCCCCGTCTGGTTCAGCAGACTAGGGCCCTCTGTGTTTTCAACAGGTACCATGGTCACGTAGAAGTTACAGCTGTCCCCTCGGCTGCTCACCACCCCGACTTCCCCTACTGCCACGAGTGGTCACTTTTTCCCCATGGTCGCATGCTCAAGAAGGGTGGGAAAGAAGCAAAAGAAAAAACTTCGGGCAAAGCCAATGTGATTTGTGACCAACTTTGTTTCTATTTCCGAAGGCTTTGCCCTTTACGGTGACACAGGCTGTTGCTATTCCAAGCAGCCTATCACAGGCGGTGGGAGGGCCAAGTCTCCGAGGAGGATTGTTTTTTGCCTTCAGATGCTGATTTGGAAGCAAGGGGTTAAAGGCCCTGGAAGCAGAGCTCTGACCCAGTGTTTGGTCTTTAGCTGCGGGTAGCGCTCGGATTCTTGCCCCTTTGAAAGGAGGGGCCCCGCAAGAAGTCTGCAGATTCTAACTCCCAGAAGAGTCACAGATGGTATCGGTTAATCTTGCAGAGAGAGGAACAATTTCTGCACACATACCACAAGGAAAAGTGTGTCAATTTTTCAGCAGAACTGTTAGCCAGAGACTCTTGACACTTACTAACTTAAACAAAGCATAAACGATCTTTCTGGATTCTACCTGGTTTTACTTTGAATTTGAGGTATATACTGGCTCTCTTTCAAGGCCAGTGGTACAAGTCAGGCCTGAGAACCTCTGTGAGCTTTTTGTTATCTTGATATGTTATAGCATAGACATGAGTTCTGTTACATGTACAGAGTTGCCTTACACCTGGACCCAACCCTGAGTTGTTCTCAGGTTGCAAGCTGCCTGCTGGTAGGAGGAGGTATTTACTCTTCAGAGAGGTGAGGCTTACAAGGCAGGTGTCAGTACAGTAGTCATACAATAAAGGTAAAGGTAAAGGCCCTCCCGTTGATCGTCGATTTGCTCGAGCGGGCCCAGTAACGTCTCCATTGGAGACTTTGTTGTTACTGTGTCTGGCATATCGAATACTCTCGGTAGCTATGATACAATATCCAAAGGCCAGAAAAGGAAAATTCTTCTGAGTTGTGAAAGAATATATAGAGAAAGTCCTACAGTTATGACATGTGACCTTCAGTTCTAAATTACGTAAATCCTATTACTGTAAAATGTGATAGAGAAAATAGGTTCATTTTAGAAAATCTTTTGAAGGGGGACCAGAACAACAGGAAAGTGGGTAGAGTGTTTTGCTTGCATGCTTGCAGCTCACTTGGGTTCAATCCCAATTACCCTATATGCCCCCCCCCCTGAGCCTGCCAGGAGTGATCCCTGAGTGTAAAGCCAGGAGTAGGCCCTGTGTAGTCATGTGTACCCCTCTCCACATCTGTCCGCCCCCCTAAAGGAAATAAAGAAATCAATTAAGAATAAAATCTAAAATCACGTGGCTGAAGTGATAGTACAGTGGGTAGACATTTGCCTTGTATGTGATTGACTTGGGTTGTAAATTCCCAGCACCCCAGATGGTCCCAGGAACCCTGCCAGGAGTGGCTCTTGAGCACAGAGCAAGGAGTAAGTGCTGACCAGCTCTGTGTGTGACAAAAAGAAACCCTAGAATTTATGAAGCACTCTTTATGTGTCGAGAAATACTAAGAGCATTGACTCAAGTAATTCTTTTGGAAACAAGTATGAGGCCGTTAACAAGAGAGGAAATGAAGGCTGGATGATTTAGCGAAAGTCTTTCAGTTTGCCAGTGGCAGAGCTGAGCCAACAGTCAGGGAGTCGAATGTGTCTATATGGTAGCTCCCGGCATTGTCCTTCCCTAATTTTCTTGACTTCCTTCACCTCAGCCCTTAGCTATTTTATGAAGATGCCATGGAATAGAGATTTTGGTTCTAGCCATCTCTCCAGAGAGTGAATTTGTGCTTGCGTGTACAGAAGCTGAATCACACAGCTCTTCCTTTCCTGCTAGGTCATAATAACCTGTCCCTGGTACCTTTCCTTTGAATCTCAGTAGCTATTTCTCTATTTTCCATGTTCTTGGAAGAATCAGGTGGCCAATGGGAAAAACCTGGATTCATTCCACTGGTATTTTTAAAGCACCTTTTGTGTGTCTGCTTATACGGCTGGAAAATGGAAGCTCTCCAAGCTTAGCCTAACCTCCTCGTGATTCAGAGAGGAGCAGAGTTCAGAATCACTTAGATCAGCTTGTTCCCAGGAAAAATAATGCAGTATAATTAGACTTTTATTTTATTTGTTCCCAGGATGAGTTAAGGTTGTAGGCGTTGCAGATTTTATCTGTGCGCCATTTCTCATCAGCTCCCCATTTATCTTTTCATGACCAGTGACCTCAGTTGGAGAATATTTTCTTGCAATGGGTTAGTGATCCCAAGCACTGTGTCCCTGCACTTCTTGGAAATCCAAATTATGACAATGTCTGCTATCGCCTTAACTAGACAGAAAACAAACCTAATTCTATGATACTTTCTTATGGTTAAAACTATTCCAACAATTTCACTTTACTTTCTGTAGCTGAACATAAGGACTCTTAAGGCATAAACCACCAAGAGAATAAGCGGACAGGATCAGAGAGATATATAGGGATCAAGGCACTTTCTTTGTACATAGTCAACCTTGACTCCATCCCTGGCACTACATGAGGCAACTTTGAGCCTAAAACAAAAAACAAAACAAAACAAATAAACAAACAAAAAACTGGATAAGCAAACACAACTGTCTTTATATTCTCTTGGTACCCTTATTTCTGTTCCTTGTCCTCTGTTGATGTGACAGGTCATAGCTTCCCTTTACTCTCTTAATTCATAGAAAATTTATTTCTGCCCATGCTAGAAGAAAATATTTTATCACTCAAATTTTCTTAAGAACTCCCCCTATATAGCATTTTGCACATTTTAAGAGCATTTATTACTATTGCATGGAGGAATTTGATTTAAATCTATCTTTTTTTGCTAGATATGAAGCTTCACAAGACTATGAACTACATCATCTAAGTTCATTGCATATTCTAAGTGCTTGGTACACCATAAATTCTTAGTATATATATGCAAATAGGTTGTTCCCTGTAGACCCACTACAGTCTAGTGTTACTAGACTGTAAGTCTTATTATATCTGTCTCATATGCACGTCTCATCTTGCTCACATTATAAGGCATGCAGCAGATCTTATATATATATTTCTTTAATAAATGGCAGATCCTCATTATTTAATGCACTGAATAAACCTTCACTTTATTAATATCAAAATATTTCACAATTCCCTATAATATTTAACATTAGAAAAATTATAAATTGAAATATGTGCTTCCTCTCTTTTTTTTCTTTTTAAAAATTTTTTTGGTTTGCTTTTGGAGTTCACCTAATGGTCCTCGGGGCTTACTCTTGGCTCTGCACTCAGAGCTCAAACCCCGGGTGGGCTGCATGCAAGGCAAACGCTTTATCCCTGTACTATCTCTCTGGCACGTTCTCTCTTATCTCCGTTAATCTCTTTAGAACAAGCATTACCACCGATTGCCCCTCCTCCATGGTTTGATAAGAATTCCCCTTAAGAAATATAAAATAAGCAGTCAACAGACAGAGGTATTCTCCATCACCCAAATAATTTTGCTAGATGCCATTTTAGACACTGTTCATAGATATTGTTGCAAAACATATAGATTATGGCTTGGATATTGGAAAGACAGATCAGATGCAATGAAAAAGAAGGAAAACAGCATTGTAAACCCGTGAACACCTGAGGTATTTCCTTAAAAAATGTCCTTTAATTTAATTTTGTTCTGAGAGAGAGAATCCAGTCAAAACTGAACGAAGGGACTTTATTTGAAGACCTGGTTTTGTTTTAAGTTCTTATGTGTAAAGTTGTAGTCATCAGTAATCTATCAATTACCTTATCAACAGGTCTATTTTCATAGAAAATTTTCTCTTTTTTCACTCTGGTTAGACCCTGGCTTATAAAATTGTTCACAATGCAGTTGTTTTGGGCAGTCAATGTTTCACCACCAGTCAATCCCACCACCAATGTACCTTCCCTCCACTCCTCAATGTCCTGTTCCTCCCCCAAACCTGCCCCCTTTGCAGGCACATAATAATTGATTTTGTATTGCTTGTTACAACTAAAATGGCTAATGGAATTATCAAAAAAAATACTTCAGTAAAAAGAACATTTGTGAAAATTGTTAATCCCACCATGGGATCATTAAATCCTTCTCTGAGAGTTTTCTAAGCTGTTCGCTGTTTATTGAGCCTTCTCTGCTATTGTTTTTGCTTATTGAGCTTTAGTTGGCTTCTACGTTGCTTTCCCATCTCATTGGGTGTGCTCCTACTGGCTTGTCAATATTGTGGAATTTGGAGATTTTGCTCCAGAAACTCCAGGATCTGTTAATTTGGCCAATGAGTTTACATGATAGCAGCTGTGGGATGTGGGTATGTTTGCTGGGCTTCTAGAAGTATGGGGGTGGGGCGGGGGAAGGCTATCTGCCCCCACACCTAGAAGACCCCATAGTTTGTGTTAGACTAGACTATCAGGAAGAAGACCAGACTCCACTTGCAAGCAAAAATAAAAAAAAAGATTTCTGGGCAGATACCTCTAAAATAAAGGTGCCACACCACAAAAAGCTGGGTGAACTTGTCACATAGATCATAAGTTGCAAGTAGGAGGGAAGGGAGGGGCATGTCACCTCAGCCATACCAGCAGCTCAGATGTTCACACCTGGGCCTTGGTGGTTTGAGGAATGTTCTGTTTCTCTCTCAGAAAAACCTGCTAGCCACATTCTGCCACCACCACAGGTGTTGAAGCTAAGCAATCCAGTGATCCCACTTTACAATTTTCAGCCTGAAAACTGGTGTACCTGGAATTTTAGGCAGATTGGCGTCTTGGCAGAGAATTGTTGTGAATCAATAGGGTTGGGTTGTTAGCATTGTGGCAAGTGTGGGGTGTGGGTGTGGCTGCCAGGGTTTTGGCAAGCAGGAACTTGGTCTGACACCCTCCTGAGGGCACCTCAAAGATTTCAGCCATAAGACCCATGAAACTATGTATTTTGGCTGCTTGGCTTACATCTCATCTGAAATTAGTTGGCGTCTATAAAGCTGGAACGACTATGAAAATATTTTTAACTTCATTTCATCTTGGATCACATCGGAAAATCTAGATTTTATTTTTTTAAAAATTACAGCGTGATTTTTAACTATCTCTCTGACGATTAATTGATTTATC